TTGATGCTTTTGAGTTGTGGTGCTGGCGAAGAATGCTGAAAGTACCATGGACTGCTAAAAGAACTAACAGATCTGTCCTGGAGGAAGTGCAGCAAGAATGCTCCTTGGAAGTAAGAATGGCCAGACTTTGTCTCACCTACTTTGGTCATGTTGTCAGAAGGGAGTATTCCCTGGAGAAGGATGTCATGCTTGGTAAAGTGGAGGGTCGATGAAAGAGGGTAAGACCTTCAGCGAGATGGATTAACACAGTGGCTGCGACAATGGGCTCAATATAGTAGGGATCATGGAGCTGGCGTGGAATCGGGTCATGTTTCATTCTGCTGTTCATGGGGTCGCTATGAGTCAGAAATGACTCGATGGCACCTAACAACAACAACAACAACAGAGGCAGAAGGAATCTCCTCTCTCTGACTGCCAGCAGAGAGAGAGAGGCACTGCTGAGAGAGAGAGAGACTGCTGCCTGAGGAAGACTGAGCGCGTTCCTGAACTTGAATTGTAGCCTGTTGCTTCCCTAATGAGCCCCATAATCTGTGAGTTCTGTGTGGCCACTGCAGTGAATTATGGAACCCAGCAGAGAGGTGGTGGGTGCTGGGGGAGGGATGGTTGGAGCCAAGAATGGTAAGAGGGCTGGAGGGTGGCAGCATGTCTGGTCTCATAAGAACAGGCTTTGGGCTGCTAATGGTGATTCTGTCATCCTCTTGTGGAGTTAGAGGAGGTCAGAAGGTGCCACCTCCTTGCCTCCTTAGTGGTGGGGAGACACATAGTAAGCTAATAATCATATGTAATGGTAATAATTGCTAAGAAAGAATCAAAGTGTAAAGGGGCAGAGAGTGCAGGGGCAGGAAGTGGCATTTTAGGTAAGTTTAAGGGGTGTGTATTTCCTGAGGAGACGGTTGAAACTTGACCTTAATGAGGTGAGAGGACAAACCAATTGGTTATCACGAAAAGAGCCTTCCAGGCAGAAGGAACAGCAAGAGCAAGTGCTCTGAAGTAAGAACAGACTTGGCATGTTTGAGAAAGAGGAAACTCAACACGCTACAGTGAAACGATCAGTGGGGAGATTTGTAGGAAGTGAAATTCACTTCAATTTTCTTCTTGGAAATTAATTGATGAATAAGAAAATAACTACTGATCACATAAGTAACTACTACATGAAAAGTTAAAAGACCTGAATGGTTAACACATTATTGCCCCAAATCTAAATCAATGAATATTAAAAGATGTTTTGTTAGAAAAATAACTGAGATATCCCAAATGCTTTGTCATCCCCTTCAAGGACCTATTTGTAGTTCAAAGGAGTAATCACTAGATGGTACTGGAGGCTATGTAATCAAGGTATATGTGGAGAGCAGTGTATTTCTTTCAGTGACTATAAACATATCACCATGCTAACTGTATAAAAGTGGAAGAATATAAGAGTGAGCAGGCTTTTAAACAGAAAACTGGACAGCTTTAGAGTGCTTGCCACTTTGTTGTATATATTCCTGTACTTGCAGATATTGTGAATCCAACACTGATTATACCTTTGGCTTAAAAGATTACCTAGCAATCACTTGGTTATGTACTGCTCTTTCTTGACTAGTCACCATGTTGTTTTCCTTTCTTAAATAACTACTTGAGGCTTGAAACCACAAATTAGCTATAAATCTAACCACAAGGAATATCTTAATCTTACAGTTTATATAGCATTGTCTTTTAGGCTTAGCGCGAATTTTTGTTTCATTTTAACATCAGGAGAATAAAAAATCTTCTGGGATATTTTTCAGTGATTAAGTGAATGAAGGTTGGTGGTTTAGTTTCACGCAGTGGTTCTACAGGAAAAAGACCTGCAATCTCCTACTGTAAAGATTCATTCCAAACCCATTGCCATCAAGGTGTTTATGACTCACAGCAACCCTGTAGGATCGAACAATCCCAAAGGGTTTCCAAGGTTGTAATCTTTATGGATCCAACTACCACATCTTTCTCCCACAGAGCAGCAGGTGGGTGCCAACCACCAGTTTTGCAGTTAGCGGGCACAGTGCTTAACCACTGCACTACTAAGGCTTCTCCCTGTAAAGATTACAGCCTAGAAAATCCTGTGTTGCAGTTCTACTCTGTCACGTCATGTCACTGGGAATTGAAATTGACTCAACAAAACTCAACAACAATCCTTAAACAGAAAATAAAAAATTTTACTCTGTCTTCTTCCGGTTGTCAAGACATACTCCTACTTGCCCAAAGGGAACAACACGAGAAGGAACTATGGGCTGTCAGCATGTTAAAAAACCAAAACCAAACCCATTGCCATCGAGTTGATTGCAACTCAGTGATCCTATACAACAGAGTAGAATTGCCTTCAGAGGGTTTCCAAGACTGTAAATCTTCATGGAAGCAGAGTGCCTCATCTTTCTCCCTTGGAGAGGCCAGTGGGTTCGAACCACCATTTCAGTTAACAACTGAATGCTTTAACCACTGTACCACCAAGGGTCCCCACATGTGCATGTAGTGTGTGTTTATTCTAAGCCTCCAGAGACTCCTGATGGCTCTTTCCCTTCTCTGAACTTAATATCCTTTAAATATTTTTCTGTATATAGCAGACAAGAACACATGAAAGTATTCAATTTTGTGTCAAAAGCAAACTATCAAACTACTAATACATAATTGTTTTGAAGAGTGTTTTCCATATACCCTAAATATATCAAAACAAAATGGTGACAAAAGTTTCCCATATTTAGATTAAAATTTTTGGAGTTTTTAGAACTCAAATACAATAAATTAGTTGGCTTTCTATTATTTTCTTGATAATCCAAAATCTAAATGTATTTAAGTGCTTTTGGTACCAACTTAATAGTTATGAGCTGTTATAACTAGCATAAAGAATTAGTAGAATTAAATTAAAAAAAAATCTAGAGTCAGCTAAGCTGGAGAGGTAAAATAATGTTATTTTGCATAGATAATTTAAAATACCTTCTCCTTTTTTACAGGGCAGTTTTGTTGTTACAGACTGCAGAAGACCAAGATTCTTATAATGTTACAGTAAGAAATTATGGCAGATTGTTATGGTAAGCATAATTTTTTTCCCATCAATTCTGTGAATCTTTTGGGTTTTTCTGGTGAAAGCTATGGAACTGGTGAGGTGGTTAACACTTCCCCAGGGTAGTGGGACATGTGTAAATGAGGATAATGACATTCCCCCAAACCCAAAAACCTACTGCCATAGAGTTGATTCCAACACAGAGTGACCCTATAAAAAAGAATAGAATTACTCCTATAGAGTTTCCTCGGCTGTGAATCTTTATAGAAGCAGACTGCTACATCTTCCATGGAGCAACTGGTGGGTTTGAACTGCTAACCTTTTGGTGGGCAGCTGAATGCCTTAATCACTGCGCCACCAGAGCTCCTTTGAGATTCTCCTAGGATATGAAATTCCCACAGTACCAGGCTGTGTTAACAGTTTCCTGTACCTCTAACAATATGTAACCTTGTGTAAGAAACTTACGGTTTAGATCAAATTTAGAACTTATGGTTTGTGGACTGGATAAAAGATAATTGAAAGAGAGATAGCATCTATGTCTAATAGTGGAAGCCTAATAAATTGGAAGAGGAATTGAATTTATTCTGTTTTGCTATATATTCTTAAACTACAAATTGATTTTAGGGGTCTAGAGACCCTTTTGAAATTGTATGCAAAAAATTGTGTGTTTGCATAATTTGGGAGTAGAGAAGGCAATCATGCAGATTTCCTGAGTCTCTAAGATATCTGACTCCTCCCCTAAAATGTAAAAAAAAAAGGTTTTAGAGATTAGAACTAGGACCAGAAAATAGAAGTATTATGGGAGAAAAGTTTTGAGGTCAAGTTAAAGAGGGAGTCCTAAAGTTGCGAGCTGTACCAGAATTCAATTGTTCAGTATGAAAAATTATTAGAACTGCAGTTGAATATTTTGCAATTAATGCCTACATCTTTTAAGGAGCTATATAGCTCTGAGAATGAGCTCTCATGGCATAGTGCCTAAGGCTTTGACTGCTAACCACAAGGCTGGCGATTCAAACCCACCAGCCACTCCTCGGAAGGAAGGTCAGGCAGTCTACTTCTGTAGTGATATCACCTTGGAAACCCAAGGAGGAGTCGCTATAAGCCGGATCCGACTCCACGGCAATGATTTGGTTTTTGTAGTTCTGAGATAGACAATTCTTTTCTGTTGAAACCGTGTAACTGAATTACATCCATAGACAGGAAAATTTCAATGTTCTGACTGCCTCCCATTTCAGTTCTTTTAAAATAATATATGTAGGAGTTGATAGAGCTCTGTCAGGAGCTCTGGTGGCATGGTACCTAAGACACTTGACTGCTAACCAGCAGGCTGCTGGTTCAAATCCACCAGCCATTCCTCTGAAGGAAGGTTGGGCAATCTATTTCCATAGTGATACAGCCTCAGAAACCCAAGGAGGGGGTCGCTATGAGTTGGGTCCGACTCGATGGCACATAACGACAGAGCTCTGTCAGTTCCAAGAATTTCTTGAAGCAGAGGATAGATCTGGTATAAGAAATTGTATAGAATAAAATATCTTTTGTCTTTTGATATTTCATTTAATGTAAACATAGTATTTTTGAAGAAGTCCTCTTGTTCCATTCTTATTTCCAAAAGTAATAACATATTTGAAGATAGTGTTTTCAAAAAGGACAAGGAGGTGGCATATTCTGACCTCCTCTCACTTCATAAGAGGAAGACAGTATCACCATCGGAAGCCCAAGGCTTATTCCTACCAGGCCAGAAATGTCTCCACCCTCCAGCCTTTTACCAGTTCTGACACCAACCATCCCTCCCACAGCACTCACTGCTTCTCTGCTGGGTTCAATAATTCGTTGCAGTGGCCACACAGAACTCACAAACAATACTCATGATTATGGGGTTTATTAAGGAAGTAACAGGCTACAATTCAGGTTCAGGAATGTACTCAGGATACAATTCTTTGATCAGGACAGTCCCTCCTGCTATGCCCTCAGGCATGCCTCCTGGCCCTTGGCCTCTCAGCCTGGCCTCTGTCCTGCTTGGACAAGGTCTTTTACAAAGCTTACAAAGCTCTTTTAGCTCTGCTCTTAGGTACACTTAAGTGTACCCCACTCTGTCAACAAGCCTCCTGTCCAAAGGCATTCATCTTTCTTGCTCTGTGGGCCAGGTAAGCCCACCAATCTGTCTTGTGCCTTTTGGTTCCACTGTAATCATTTCTCTCTGCCAGGGCATCTCTCTCTGCTGGGGTGTCTCTCTCTGTCATGTGTCTTTGCCCAGGTGGTCCAGTGCAGAGATCTTGGATCCAAGGATGCACTCTACTTCACCTCCAGCTCTTCTTTCTTGATGGCAGTGAGATCTCACCTCTCCACTTGTTGTTGTTGTTGTTGTTATGTACCCTCGAGTCACACCTGACTCATAGTGACCCCTCTTTGGGTTTCCGAGGCAATATCACTACGGAAGTAGATTGCCCCATCTTCCTTCCGAGGAGTGGCTGGTGGGTTTGAACCGCCAGCCTTCTGGTTAGCAGTCAAGTACCTTAGCCACTATGCTACCAGAGCTCCCTCTGTTGGGATTGGTTAGTTTTGTCACTCTGCCAGGCTTACAATAAGGCTTCTCCACTTCTAGGAAGCCTTATTGTAAGCCTGGCAGAGTGACAAAACTAACCAATCCCAACATCAGAGTTCTACACACCTTATTTGCATGGTCCCACCCAGTAATCTAGGAGCTCTGGTAGCATAGTGCCTAAGGCACTTGACTGCTAACTGGAAGGCTGATGGTTCAAACCCACCAGCCACTCCTCGGAAGGAAGGTTGGGTATTCCTACTTCCGTAGTGATACTGCCTTGGAAACCCAAGGAGGGGTCGCTATGAGTTGGGGCCGACTCGATGGCAAAT